AGGACAGCTCAGAGGCAGTGAATGTCACAAAGGTGAAAAGAATATAGAATCACAATCATCCTTATCAGACGTTTTGCACCTCTGCAGATCATCTGTCTTGTTCAGTTTACAACTGAGGATAGCCAGCCAGAAGGGGCTTTGAGATCCTCTTCCAGATCCTTACGTGGTCATCTAGTTTATAAAGATAGTTTTCATGGATACCAATGAAGTTGGTGACTTTCCCCTTTGCCCTCTCCTCTGCAGAGGAAGAATAGCTACTGACTTTTTTCTTAGTATTCAAGTAAACAGAGTTCAGTCTAATGAGTTCCAGCTGCCTAGGCAGTATGACAGGATGTCCTCCATCACTCTGTCGATTTGGGCTTCCATTATGAATTTCATGATCTGATGAACTGTGATACCAGTTTTGATGCTTATGTCCAACATTTGCATCCAGTAAAGGTTATTCACTATTTAAAGGAGTACAATAGAGAGCTCTGGGTTTTTGTGTGTTCTTTTTTTTTTTTTTTTTTTACTGCTTCATGGGTTTCATTTAATGAAATTGCACATACAGAATATTGTCTCAAAGCTCCTGTTAATGATGAAGATCAGTCTATTTTTATTAGGGGGAGAAAATAGAAAAGATAACTTTAATTTACCAGTATCAAATCAAGTAAGTCAGTTACTAGATGTTCTTGCTCAAAGATAAGTTAATAGCATTTTTCTGGTTATATTTTTATTATTATATATCTGGTTGGATGCTTTAGAAATGTTAAAAGTTCCTATAGTCCCTAGGAACTTTGATAATCAGGTAGAGAAATAGTTTGTGTACCAGTTGGAAAATAATTAGTTGAAAAAGGAAAAAGAAAAGAAACTAAAAGAGGAAAAGAAGAGAAAGTAATCAGTTGCTAACCATTGTCACATTATTTAACTCACAGTGTTATTTTATACACCTGCAAAGCTCTGTGCAAACTTCTACAAGTAATACAAGAAAGGCAATCACCTGTAGAAATTAAGATTCCATAGGGGAATGTGCTAGGCAGCTTTCCATTACTATAACAAAATACCTGAGTAAAAGAGTAAAAGTTTATTTCAGCTCATAATTTTGGATGCTTCATTTCATGTTTTGGGGCCTGTAACAGGCAGCATGTTATAGCAGGAATGTATGTTGGAGGAAATGTCTTTCACTTCATGGTTGAGAACAAAAGAGATAAAAATAGCCAGGGTTTCAGGTTCCCCTTCAAGGACATTTTCCCAGTGACTGGAGATCTCCCAGTAGGACCTGACCTCTTCAAATTTCCACTACTTCCCAACAGTACTGTCAGCAAGAGACTGAGCCTTTAATTCATGAGCATAAGGAGTACCCAGACCATGGTGGGGAGGGAGATTTGTAGAAAAGGAATTGAGACCAGCCTGACTACTGCTTCCAATAGGAAGCTGAGTGGTATGTGTACCTTGAAGTATGCATCATAGGCATCCTGGATGATCAAGAACAACCCAAGTGTTTGAACTGTAGATTTTCTGTTGTCTCCCACCAACAGGGAGCATAGGCCCATTTCTAGGGACAACACTGGCTTAAACCCCCCCCACCCCCACACACATACTTATGAAATGCCCATGCTTTCATATAGCCAAGAAGAAAATTGCAAAATAAGCCACATAGCCACAAGTTAGTAGTGCTCTGATGTAAGAAGTTCAAGCATTTCTCATTAATAAGTAGTAATGAAATATTAATGTATATAAATTCATTATTCTTTTCACTTTAACTTTTCTGTCTAGCTCCTCTTAACTCAGCTTTTTAGTACTCAAATTTTTTGTCTTTAAATGTTGTGTAACTTCAACGTACAGATTATATAATTTTAAAAACATATTTGTCGTATGCTACTTTCATCTAGCATGTCCTGTGGGCAGTAAGCATTGTTCATTATTTACATTTCTTCCAGGCGCTGGAGGACCGTCCTAGCTCACTCCTTGTCGATCAGGGAGACAGTAGTAGCCCCTCCTTCAACCCTTCAGACAATTCCCTGCTCTCTTCCTCCTCTCCCATTGATGAAATGGAAGAAAGGAAATCCAGCTCTTTAAAGAGAAGGCAGTAAGACAAACGTTTTTGTTCTCATTTTTTTCATGTTATTTCCTATCTTTGGCTCCTTCAGAACTGGGATTCATTCAAGACTGGGATTCATCTCTGAATTAGTGAAGATCTAAGATCTCATTGAGAGAGGAGGGAGGGAGAGACAGAGAAAGACAGAGAGAAAGGATGTCAAGTACCCAAAAACTTACAAGGCTGCAGTGAGCCCTAGCTTCACTTTCTGTTGTTAGATTTGTAAATAATAATGCACATGAAGAAAATTTGCTTGTCATACATGCTAAGAAACTCCTAGAGTTTCTATTGCATTTGTAGTTGGGTTTTTTTAAGGCTATATAAAATTAGAACTAGTCCCCAAAACATATATATATATATATGTTTCAAATATAACTTAGTAGTAGTGTTTCTCAATTCTGGTACGATGGCTAATGATAATAATCCTGAAAAGTTACAAAAAGCTTAACCTATTCTCTAGAGAAGAGGAAAAACTTCAAGGGATGTGAGGGAGGAGACGATTTTATTCACTAATGCATCTCAGTCACTTGAGTGGCATTGGGCATATGAAAGATACCAGTTGATGATTACTGACTGAATGAAAAAATAAAAGGAATTTTTTCAGGCTGGTTGAGATCTTTTCCATATTGATAAAATGATTATCCTCTATTATCTGAGTACCCTTAGTTCCAAAACACTTCAAGTGGTGCATTCAAACCCATGGTGTTAAACATCTGAATTTTTTTCTATACAAACGTAAGCCTATATTCAGAACTATCTGGGAGGGAGATTAAGATTTGAGACCAGCTTGAACAAAATGAGGAGGAGGAGGAGGAGGAAGAGGAGTTGTTCACAAAATTCCATCTCAATAAATGGCTCAGAATGGTGGTGCTTGCCTATCATCCCAAGATACCAGAGAAGCACAATGGGTGGGTGGGTATGGTAGTGTGCACCTAACTTCATGATGAAGTGCAAATAGGAAAATCACAGTTCAACCTGATATAAAGCAATCAACATCATTTCTAGGTGCTGGTGGCTTACTCCAATAATCCTGCCTATTCAAAAGGCTAAGCTTGGTTCAACTGTAGCCCAGGCAGAATAGTCTATGACACTATTATCTCCAGTTAACCAGCAAAAAGCCAGAACTGGAGGTAAGGCTCAAGTGTCAGAACACCAGCTTGGTGGTATGGTTCAAGTGATAAGAGCTCCTGCCTAGTAAGCAAGAGACCCTAAGGTCAAAACTCACTACCACCAAAAATATTTTTTTCCTATGTTTATTGAAGCTTAAAACAACCTGTTAAAGAACCAATTGCTTCCCCTAATGTCATACCTTCATAACAAAGTTTTGTCTGAGTTTCTTTTCATGCAATCAGAGTGAGGTTGGCTGAATGCTGATTGTAGCCATGAAAATGTGTGTGGATGTTTTTGACTCCAAGACCTCTTACAGATCACTGACTTGAACTTGGAAGTGACTGGAACACACAAAAAGCTTAGGTTCCAAGTTGTATAAATTTGATATATTGCTGTAAGATCCTAAAACATATCTATCTGTCAAGTGAAAAGTAGCAAAGCAAAGAGTCTGGTTTGTAAACACTAATTTTCTTTTTTCTAGTTATGTTTTGCAAGAGTTAGTAGAGACAGAGAGAGACTATGTACGCGACCTTGGCTATGTGGTTGAGGTATGTATCTTCACAAATTTAATAGCTTTGTATCAACAGTTAACTGAAAGAAGCCGTATTAGACAGTATAGCAATGATATTTTCTCAGAAACCTTTTTTAATTAATGAGCTAATTGATTAGCTCACTAATTAAAAAGCCAATAAAATATTTCAACTTGGCCAGTTATTTTGGCAATCTGTATACAGTTGTAAAGACGTTTTTAAACAACTGAGGGTTTATAACTAGTGTGCCTAACACAAGAATGGATGCTATAGAAATGTCAGCCTCATTGGCCTGTGGCTATCCCTATCCCTGGTGAATTACTTGTAGTTTTGCATAGATTACATGTGTTGACATTTTCATTGACCTGAAATGGCTGAGCTCTTGTGTAGCCACAGCAAAACTCCTACCTTATACTAGTATGGAAAGAACATGATTACATTAATATAATTACTTCATCAAAAAGCTATTTTTATTTGAAAAGTTTTGTTTATGCTTTAAACTTTGCAAATATGTTCAAGACAATATTTTTTGGTGCATGTCCAATTAAACGTAACAGCTGTGGGCTAGGTGCTGGTAGCTCACACCTACAATCATAGCTACTCAAAGATCTGAGATCTAAGAACATCAGTTCGAAGCCAGTCTGACATCCATAGAATTTTAACTCCAATGAACCAGCAAGAAGATGGAGTAGAAGTATAGTTCAAGTGGTTGATGACCAGCTGTGCGCAAAAAAGCCAAGCAAGAGCTCAGGCTCCGAATTTAAGCCTCAATACCCCCAGTAACAGCTGTAGGTCTGGATGGTAGGGTTAGCTCATAGAGAGACAACTCTCCTAGCATAAACAGAGCCCTGAGTTCTTTCCCTGGCACTTCAACAAAGACAGAAAAAAAGTAATAGTCATTATAGTTAATGAAGGATTTAACAGCCAACACTGGTGCGGTGATACACACCTGTAATCTAGCTACTCAGGACGCTGAGATCTAATGGTTGAAATTCAAAGCCAGCTGAGGCAGTGAAATCCTTGAGACTATCTCCAGTCAACCAGCAAAAACCTGGAAGTGCACCTGTGCCAACAGATGCTAATTTGGGGGGAAAAAGCTGAAGAGAGCTGCCCAGACCCTGAGTTCAAGCTCCAGTACCAGACAGCAAAGAAAAACACAAAGATTTGACATACTTGATGAGTTTGTAGTCCTTGATAACAGTGAGGCATGTGTAACTTAAATAGGAAAAAGGTTCTGGTGTAGGTTGGCCTTGCAGTTGGATGGGAGTTTAGCTTTAGGGTAAGGCTGCTGTGTACTCAAGCTGTACTAGCAAGACATGTGACACCACACCTAACTGAATAGGAATTTTAAATCACAGTTTATCTACATATTTAACTTGTTAAAAATCATTGAGTAAAAATAATTTTGTTAAATCCTTACTTTAAAATTGTATAATAAAAAAGAAAAGAAAATCCTTTATGAGAGAAATGTTCAGTATAGGAAGTGTGCTTCAGATCAAATATTTAAAATTTACTAGCTAATATTATTTATATGAATAAAACCATGTACATTTATTTAAACTGTTTCAGTTCCTTCTAAGAATTTTGATCCATGAATGTTAAGCAGTTCAAGAAGAGAAAATGGTTTGTAGTATACTTTTCAAATGTCTTTTTATTTGTTCTTAACTTAAGGATTGGTTATAAAGCTGTGTGTTTATTGTGTCCTTTTCTAAGCAATAATCTACTACTTGATTTAAGCATACTGCATAATGAGCTTGTTTTTAAATATTTCACTGTAGGGCTACATGGCACTTATGAAAGAAGATGGGGTTCCTGATGACATGAAGGGAAAAGACAAGATTGTATTTGGCAACATCCATCAGATTTATGACTGGCACAGAGAGTACGTAAGCTACACATCGTGCTGGTGGCATGCAGATCATCAGCACTTGATACACTTCATCAGACCAGGCCAGTGGTAAAAGAGAGGGTTGTGGATCCATTGTTTTATTACCTGGGTAGCCTCGTGGAGGAACCTTGTACAAAGGACATTCTAGGTACCAAGGAGTTTAATAGTTGCATTTCAAGGCTTGGGAGAGAATCTTAACTTTTTACTACTGGTCCATGCCAGGCTCCAGGTTTCTAGGTAGAAGTTCACTGCCTGGGCTGTGGACTGTTTCTGACCTTGAGGCATTTGCTTCCCTTCTCTGTGAATACAGCTTCTTCGTCTGCACCACCTCATGGGGATTTTTTTTTAATAGAGAATGAATTAATACTTCTAAACCACTTAGGACAACATCTGTATAGAGTAAGCCTTAGTAAATGTTTCTAATTAGAATTAGTCTCTCTTGATTATAAGTTACTATTATTAAAGGGTTTTTAATTTTTCCAACTCAGTATTAATGGGAAAAGTAGACACGGTTGTCCAAATAAGTGAAACTTGGTCCTAGTATCTTGCCCATTCTTACCCTGACCGGGAGGAGAACCACATGGGGTTAGTGCTCCAGCAACTTGAAGCTGATGGATGCATTAGGATATTCCAGCTTCAGACTCTCATGCCTATGACATAAATAAGGCCTCCTGTCCTGTCTTTACAGGCATGGCTGTTCCTTCTGGCAGAACACGCAAATCCATGCCTTCTCTTTAAAGCTAAAGCTACGTGCTGCTTCTCCATTAGGCCTGCACAGTGCAGATAGTCCCCTATGGCTAGCGGTTTGTGCCCTTTAAACTCTGAAGCCCAATACATACAGGAGGTATTGCCATGAAGAGCATCAAACAGTGTTTTATCATCTCTCTCCTTATAAAATGAAAAGCCTAGTCAGGTGCCAGTGGCTCACACCTGTAATCCTAGCTACTCGGATGCTGAGATCTGAGGATCATGGTTCAGAACCAGCCCGGACAGGAAACTCCATGAAACTCTTAACGCCAATAAGCCACCAGAAAACCAGAAGTGGCGCTGTAGCTCAAGTGGCAGTGCTCGCCTTGAGCTGAAGAGCTGAGGGACAGCACCAGGCCCAGAGTTCAAGCCCCACGACCGACATAAATAAATAAATAAAGTGCCTGTGAACCCAAATATGGGATCTTTAGATCTTACCAAAAGCACAATGATACCAATTTGAAAGGGATGTGTTGTATTATTGTTTAGTCTTCTCAAAAGACTTATCTTTAAAGCAACACAAAATTCCTGGGATAGACAGAGCGAGAATGCTCCAAAAGATTCTGTCCCACACACTGTTTGCCTAGTTTGAGGATAATAAAACCACAGTGCTGCTGAATTGCACATGACATTAATTGTCATGCTGGGCTGCTGGTTAATAAACACCAAATATAAACATACAAGTGATAATTGAGTTAAATACATATACTCAAGGTAAGGATAGTAACAAAAAAATGAAGAGCAAATTGCCTTACAGCTATTTTGTGCTTGTGATTGCATATAATTTTAATCTTAATGGGAGTTGATATTTACAAACTACAAATTGATTTTGGTATTTAAGAAAATTTCATAAAACTGGCACAGATAATATGTTCAGTATTTAATATCTGTTATCTAATTAGAGTCCCTAAAACTATTGGAAAATGTATGAAATTTACTGGTATGTTTCAGAAATGAAAGTTGATACTATGTTTTGGAGTATTAATTTTTTTAGTCAGTATTCAGCCAAGGATATTAGTGTATGTGTTCTGAAAAAACTGAGACTAGGATTGTTACTCAGCACTAAGAAAGCTTCCCAATCAAGGGAGAATTTCATTCTGCCTTAGCTTTTTAAACTGTATTTATTTTACTTTATATCTTAATAATGTTCTCTGTGTGGTCCATATTTGACAAGTATATACTTTTTCTCCCCAACTGCCCTTGTCTACATATTTGGAAAATACACATCTCAGATTAGGAAGCCAATTAGAAATTATTCTGATATTTTCCTCTCTTTTCAGCTTTTTTTTAGGAGAGTTAGAGAAGTGCCTTGAAGATCCGGAAAAACTAGGATCCTTATTTGTTAAACATGTAAGTACAGTGGCATTATTTATATTCTGTTCTGATATTGTCATATTCTAAAAACCTGGGCAATAAAGTCAAGTTCTCTGAATTAACTATGCCCCCTGTCCTGCCAGAGCTTGCTGTTTGGCTTATAATGTTACTGGTTGGTCAGAGGGGCCCTGAAGTAAGAACCTTGGAGAGTGTCTATGGGCAGACAAGTACTTGGTGAACATGCATCTGTACTTGAAGTGAGCCTAATACAATAGTCAAATGTATGCTTATATCTAAAGTAAGTAAGTTAGCATTAAATTTTTATGAAAAAAACTACTTTCAAAAAAAAGTATTTTACAAATCTCTAGGTTAAAAAAGACAGCAAAGATACAGAGGTAGCTCAGGTTATAAGCACTGTCTACCAAGTGTGAAGCCCTGAATTTTCAATACCACCAAGAAAAAAACAACAAGAAGAAGAAAAACAGCTGGGTTTTCATGTTTGCTTCTACATTCAGTCTATTCTGATGATTTTTCTTTCATATACTTTAATGAAGTTATTTGGCAATGAGTATCTTGATAACTTTTCCAAGTAATTATAGTTTTCTTAGGTACTATACCAAAACGTGAGAACTGATCATTTCTTAAAGGTTAGTTGCAGTGTGGAGTTAAGAAACTTGTCTATAAGCTTCTCCCTTACTGTTAATGAAATCTGTAGAACTGCTCTCCACAGTTCTTTCCCTGGGCAACATGTTGTGACATCATAACATGATAAATTAGGCAGAATTTTTAGATGTTGATACATTTTGTTACACAGTACCCTCAAATCCAAGTTTTAATGTTGCTACCTGTCACTTCAGAACAGTATTTACTGTCAAATTCACAGCAGTAGACACATTTTCCAAAATCCTGTTCTTTTCCTTAAAGGCTAAAATTTTCACTGCTCACATTCATTATCAGTTATCTGCCTTGAAATAACAGGCTACTTTGTCCATGTTCAATAAAACGTCTACTAGATATCAGATATACAGATGTAAGTAATTATACCTTCTCACCATCATTCTTTGAAGTGAAATTGGTTGTCCATGAAAAAAGCACTTGGTTTCGTTTTCACTCAGTCTCAAAAGTGATTGGGAGCAGAATTGTATAGACCTCCATCATTTGCAGTAGTGGGAAATATGTGCCATGTTGCCAAGCAGTTTCACCCACTGTTGGTATTGTGCATCAGTGCAGATGTCAACATGATGAAAAAGGCAAATGACATCATTAGTATTGATATAATGGAGCTACTGACAAACCCATGGAATCCCCAGAGGTCTTCTCACCTTCTCTGAATTAAGGCACAGTTTATTGTCCTCTGATTCCCTGCCTGTAGGACTTGAGATTAAAGACTTATTAAGACTCGGCCACCAGTGGCTCATGCCTATAATCCTAGCTACCCAGGATGCCGAGATATGAGGAATGTGGTTCTAAGCCAGCCTGAGCAGGAAAGTCCATGAGACTCTTAACTCCAATTAACTACCAAAAAAGCTGGAAAAGGAGCTGCAGCTCAAATGGTAGAGTGCTAGCCTTGAGTACAAAAGTGCCCCAGGATCAACATGTGCACATATGCACGTATGCACATTCATGCACGCACACACACATACACACACACACACAAGACTTACTAAGAGCTAGGCACGGTGGCTTATACCTGGTTACTTGGGAGACTGCAATTGAAAGGCCACCCCTGGAACAAAGTTCACAAGACTTCATCTCAACCAATAAAAAGCTATGCACAAGTGGTATGCACCTGACATTCCAACTGTGGGGAATATAAATAGGAGAATTATAGCCCAGGCTAGCCTGGCTATATGAGACCCTATTTTTAAGGAAAGCATAAAGGACTGGGGCATGGCTCAAGGAGTAAATGACCTGCTGAGCAAGCACAAGGCCCTGAGTACAAACCTCCAAAAGCACCACCAAAAAGTAAAATAAAATAGCACCTACTAAGAAACAGGCTTTCCTGGGACTAGGACTGTTTGAGGAATGGAAATAACCCTGCTGCTAGAGGTATTGCTGGTACTATAAAGTGAAAGATTTGGTCTGTGTGACAGAGCCATGAGAGTCTCAGCCCTGTGTACTTGTATCTTAAGACATTTCCCTTTATGAATGTCGCAGTGTGTGCCTGTTAGATCCAGACTACTTTACCCAGTGGAAATTGCTTTAACTCATCTGTTTGCCTTTTTCGTTCCTAGGAGAGAAGGTTGCACATGTACATAGTTTATTGTCAGAATAAACCAAAGTCTGAGCACATTGTGTCAGAATACATTGACACTTTTTTTGAGGTAAGACACAAGCTATAAATAAAGTACTTCTGAATCTTTTGTTAGATTTTGATTTCTAAAAATGAAAGTATAGTTGGATACTTTCCTAGGAGATCAGTCAGAATGTTGGTCTGAGTGATAAGATTTCTGAAGTTGTCTCGTTTTTAAATTTCCTATAAATTAGAGAAATGAGTTGATTCAGTTTGAGGTCCTCCTTTGGAGGACTGGAGTATGTTGAATAACATGGTACAGTAGGATGAGAAAAGTGAGCATAAGCAAGAGTGTCAATCTGATTACAGAACTGTAAGCATGTGTGAAATACCATGGTGAAACCCTTTAAACAGTTAACATACACTAAAAAAATAAATGACAGGAATGTAAAACAGATCCTGCCTAGGATATAGGCGCTGGGCCAGTAAGAGGTAGGGGCAAATAGAGACAGTAAATGAAGGTTAAAAGTCCAAAATATGGGGCTGGGAAGGTGGCTCAGTGGTAGAACGCTTGCCTTGCATGCAAAGGTTAAAAGTCCAAAATATGGGGCTGGGAAGGTGGCTCAGTGGTAGAACACTTGCCTTGCATGCATGAGAGTTCCATTCCTCAGCACCACATAAGCAAAAAGAAAAAAGCCGGAAGTGGCACTGTGGCTCAAGTGGTAGAGCGCTAGCCTTACGCTGAAGAGCTGAGGAACAGCGCCCAGGCCCAGAGTTCAGGCCCCACGACCAGACCCAAAAAAAAGTTCAAAATATGAACTGGGTGCTGGTGACTCATGCCTGTAATCCTAATTACTCAGGAGCTAAAATCAGAGGATCAAAGTTCAAAGCTAGTGCAGGCACAGAAATCTGTGGGATTCTTACCTCCATCCAACTAGCCACCAAAAAGCCAGAGTTGGAGCTGTGTTTCAAGCAGTAGAGTGCTATCCTTGAGCAAAGCTTAGGGAACAGTGTCTAGGTCCAGAGTTCAAGCTCCAGGACACAAACTCTGTCTCCCCCCCCCCCCGTCTCACTCATGCACACACACATACACACAGCAGCTGAAAATACTTGATGTATAAGTTCCATTTTCACACAAGTAAATGGGATAATGAAGCTTACTGAGATTGGTTTAGGAATGGGGGGCATGAGGAGAGTGGTGGAGGGGTGAGTCTGATGAAGATACATTGTATGCATATGTGAATATGTTGCAGTAAAACCTCCTCATACAGGTAATTGATTCTAATGTAAGTGTGGGGAGCCTGGCACCACGGCTCACACTTGTAATCCTGCTACTCAGGAGGCTGAGATCTGAGGATTGTGGTTCAAAGCCAGCTTGGGCAGGAAAGTACCTGTGAGACTCTTATCTCCAATTAACCACCAGAGAATCCAAAGTGGCACTGTAGCTCAAAGTGGTAGAGCACTAGTAGCCATGAGCAAAAGAGCTCAGGGACCGCGTCCAGGCCCTGAGTTCAAGCCCCATGACCAACCAAAAATAAATAAATAAATAAAAGTGTGGAGAAAATTACACTTTTAATTTAGAAATAAATTACTTGAATTTTCAGTCTTTCAAAAGAAAAAGGTTGGCGTCATTAAAAACAGATTGTAAACTAAAGGCCCATTAAAATTCAGAATAATTCATAATCTGAACTTTTTGCCTGAAAATTTAAAAATAACATATATACTTGAATATTAAGAAAACAGTTAAAAGAAGCCCTTTATAATCCTAGAACTCAGTAAGCAGGAGGATTGCAAGTTCTAGGCCAGCCTGGGTTACATAGTGAGACTTGAGTTGTTAAAAAAGAAGAAAAAAGGTCTTTGAACAAATATAAAAGAGTTCTTTGAAAAACAGCTTAGAAAGATTGATCTAAAACTTGGAAATCCTGAGAATAGTAAAGCACTATTTGGATTTGCTGCAAAGCAGTTATATTTCTTACTAATTTTGTCAGTAGTCATACTTAGCCTTTCTGATAATTACAAGGAATATAAAGCTGCCTTTTGGGGGTGGGGGTGGGGGGGAGATGAGAAGGGATGGTAAGGGGAAACAAAGGAGGCAACAATGCTAGATAAGAAATGTACTCATTACCTTGCTCATGTAATTGTAACCCCTCTGTACAGTGTTTTCATAATAAAAAAATAAAGCTGCTTTTTAGTGAACAACACATGTTTGGATTTTTCTCTCCTTAAAAACTCCAGGACTTAAAACAGCGCCTTGGCCACAGGCTGCAGCTTACAGATTTGTTGATCAAACCTGTGCAGAGAATTATGAAATACCAGCTGTTGTTGAAGGTGAGTGGGTATTGGGGTCACTCAGCAGAAATGGATGTGACAAGAGGAGTGGACTCCTGGGGCCAGGGAAAGATTGACAAGTCAGGGGATACTTCCTGAAAGAAATAGGAAGCTCCTCATCACTCCTGATTTTAATATATTTCTGAGTATTTTTTGGCAATTTGTTAAAATGTTGTGTTTTTTTTTTGGTTTGGTCGTGGGGCCGGAACTCTGTCCTTCAGCTCAAGGCTAGCGCTCTACCACTAGAGCCACAGCGCCACTTCTGGCTTTTTTCTTTTTGCTTATGTGATGCTGAGGAATGGAACCCAGAGCCTCATGCATGCAAGGCAAGCACTCTACCTCTGAGCCACCTTCCTAGCCCCGGATTTGTTAAAATGTTTTACACTATTAGCGAACTTTTTTATTTTGCTCAAGTTCTAAATGAAAATGGCAGACTTTGTTTCCTTGCTATCAAGCTTGGAAAGCTAAAAGATTTTTCTTCAGCTCTGCCAACATTAAAATATTTTTTAATCTTGGAGCCTTGGATAAAATAAAGTTTTTCATACCTGCTTATCTCTCTAAATTGGCTTATTAGCAAAAGCCCTAAATCATTTAAAATGCTTAAACACCACTAAAGGCCATGCACATGAAACTCAGGATCTACACATGAAGAGAGACATGACTTTGTCTTTGAAATGGAACCGTTACATTTGGTCTGCCTCTGCCATCAGGATACCTTTGTTGTGTATCAGAGAGAAAAGGAGAAAATGAAATTAAGTCTCTGAACCTAAAAAGGTACCACCCTTACTGTATCCTTCCTCTCCCTCACAGGACTTCCTCAAGTACTCCAAAAAAGCCAGCCTGGACACATCAGAATTAGAGGTACTTTTTGTTAGCTGTACTCTTGCAAACAAACCCAAACCCCTTCTCCTAATTCCTGAGTAGCTCATGGGGCCCCGGGGGGGGGGGGGGGGGGGGGGGGGGGGAAGGGGAGGGGAAGTGTCTGACCTTGAGAAGGGGTCACAGCAGGGGTTCAGGAATTCCCAGGGCAGCTGGAAGCCCCCTCTGCCTGCCTGCTGAGAGGCGGAAGGAGAAGAGCTGAGCTTGGCAGCATAGTAGGGGAGTAGCACTCAAATTTCTTCTAGAGGAACTCAAACTCTTGCTCTGCTTTGTCCTCACCCACAGAAAGCCGTGGAGGTCATGTGCATAGTGCCGAAGCGGTGTAACGACATGATGAGTGTTGGGCGGCTGCAAGGATTCGATGTAATTCAGATGCTGTTCTCTGAATGACTCCTCTGCTCCTCCCTCTTCTGTCTTCAGTTTATTCCACATGTAGAAAGACTCTTCTATTTGATTTATATCTTCTCTCACTTCTCTTCAACCTGGCTGACATCTTTTAACCTCTTTTTTGGTGTATTTGATTTGCTTTTAGGGGCTTTTCTCTGCTCAAAAATCCAGCCACCATTGGCAGACAAGCAGGACTGTGTTTTGTTCCCTGTACCTCTTTCTTTCTTTGCCATCTAAGGCCATGGGAGCTAGCCACAAAGTATGACCTATCACACACCTGGATAGTACAAGTTCAGAACACATTCCTTTCTTACTATTAAGCAAAGACATGGTATAAGTTTTTGCTTCCTTTCTACCTGTTTGGCTGGAGCATTGGGGTTTAAAAGTCTGGTGCTGTGGATCTCAGCACAATCACCTATGGCATTTCTAGTGACATACATCTCAACTGTGTCGTTTGTTCCTGCCTGGGCTGCTGCTGCTGGTCAGGCACACTCCTGGGAGCCAAACTGCTCTTACTCTGATTTTAACTGATGCCAGTGGTATACAGATGTTGACAAGTTTTTGAGAGTCATTCTGTTCAACATCAAGAATTCCTTATATTAGAAGAAGGGTGTGGGGAGAAGCTCTCTAAGCTTATAGAAAAAAAATGTATCATGAATTCTAAAGAAAGCAGAGTATCTGATAACTTAGAATGCAATTTTTTTCTCCATTCCTTTGCTCCCTTCTTGTTCTAGGGTAAAATTGTTGCCCAGGGTAAACTGCTCTTGCAGGACACATTCTTGGTCACAGATCAAGATTCAGGACTTCTGCCTCGCTGCAGAGAAAGGCGGGTTTTCCTCTTTGAGCAGATTGTCATATTCAGTGAACCACTTGATAAGAAGAAGGGCTTCTCTATGCCAGGGTTCCTGTTCAAAAACAGCATCAAGGTAAGGTTTGTTTGTGGGAGCTTCTTTTTATGCTGCCGCATATATCTGTCTTACCGATAAAATGTTTTCTTATTATGGTAACATATTTGATGCTAGCTTTATTTATATATAATATAGTGAACCTACTAATACGTTTGAAAACCTTCTAATTTGTTCCATCCCTTTTCTGTTTGTATTCTGGAGTTACTGATGTCTCACACACACCTCTGTGAAACACTGTTCATTAGGTAGTGTTTATGAGCCACCTTCTATAAGACTACATACAGTACTCTTTTAGATTCAGACACAGCTTTGAAGTGTCACTCTATGACCAGAGTAAGCAAATACTCTATGACCTTTCCTTGATGTAGCTCACCCTCTGATAGGAAAGAAAGACAGATAAAATAGTTGCAAATGATCTGTGAGAAAGACAAACCACGCAACCAAGCGTGAGGCAGAGAAAACCAGAAGCTGAGGTTCCAGCTGATGGTAACTGGGGTATGTCAGTGCCTCGGGTTCCTGCCACCTCTGCAGCTGGGCGAGCCTGAGTTTAGAGGGTCTTCTTTGTGAGGGTCTCATACACTAAGCCAGTAGAATCCCCATTATGGATATCCAGGACCATCTTAGACTCTCCAAGCCTGCAGACCTCATAGCACAGTGGTAGGACCTTACGCCCTCTTCCTTCTGGCACACTGCCAGGATTTCTGTTGGCTACACACAGCAGTCTCTGTGCCTGAACCTCTGTGGAACTGTCTGCGGGTGTTTCTTCTGGGTTAGAGCATCCTCTGCCTACCCTTACCTGCAGAAGCTTCAGAGCCAGGCATTGGGACACAACTACCTCCTCCAGCCACTCACATGAACACACATACCCTCACCTGAACTCCTCACCCATCCGTTACAAGTCTGTGGGTCAAAATTCAGTCTAGTGATAGCCTCTTCTTTCTTTTCCGTGTGTGTGTGTGTGTGTGTGTACTGTGTGTTTGTGTGTGTGTGTGTAAGGGAGTACTGGGGTTTGAACTTGAGGCCAAACACTCAGCACCCTTCCCTCGTTTATATTCTATTACTTGACACACCCCCTCCCACCCTAGCTCTGCTTTTTCCTGGTATTTTGGAGATACATTCTACTAGGCTTTCCTGACCAGGCTGGCCTTGAACTGCCATTCTTCACATCTCAGCCATCTGTCTAGCCAGAAGTATAGGTGCAAGCCAACTGGACATTCTTATACAGCATTCAGCTGGACATTCTTCTATGTATTCTGCTGTTTCTGCGAAATAGTTGTGGGTTGTTTTTTTTTTTGGTTTTTGTTTTAAATTTTATTTTATTGTAAAGATGCTGTTCAGAGGGGTTACAGTTACATGAGTAAGTTATGAGTACATATCTTGTTGAGCATTGTTACCTCCTCCTCCTTTTTCTCCTATCCCTCTCTACCCCCAATCTCCCCCTCACCCCCCCTCAAGTTGTAAAGTTCATTTCAAACATAGTGTCTTGTGAGTCTCGGTGTTGCAATGGGTCATCCTGTGTCCTTGTTTCAGCATTTTGTTATTCTCCTTTCCCTCCCCAAATTAGATAAATGTATAAACAAGATGCAAGGTACCAAAATTCAATGCAGTGACAACAGGGATATCATAGGATATCAAAAAAAAGTCACATAGTATATTAAAAACAACAACAGTAAAGAAAGACCTCTTGTGTCCATATCTTAGTGTTCATTTCACTTAGTCATATATACATAGTCATATATACATAGCTTTTGAGCATTTCTGCTTATCTGATAAGATTATCCTATCCTAGATGGGGCTGGGAAGGTGGCTCAGTGGTAGAGCGCTTGCCTTGCATGCCTGAGGCCCTGGGTTCGATTCCTCAGCACCACATAAGCAAAAACAAAAAAACCGGAAGTGGCGCTGTGGCTCCAGTGGTAGAGTGCTAGCCTTGAGCTGAAGAGCTGAGGGACAGTGCCCCCCCAAAAAAAAAATTATACTAGACTTATACTAATTATTGCAAACAGGGGAAACTATGGGACCTATATTTCTTTGGGTCTGGCTTACTTCACTTATTACGATTTTTTCCACGTCTTTCCATTTCCTAACAAATGGAGCAGTGTCATTCTTTCAGATGGCAGCATAGAATTCCATTGTACACACACACACACACGCATGTACGCACGCACGCACAACATTTTCCTGAGTTGGTTCCATATCTTAGCTATGGTAAATAATGCTGCAGTAAACAGAGTTGTGCTGATAGCTTTAGTTTGGCCATGTTTGAGATTGTTTGGGTAAATGCCCAAAAGTTGGGTCATAAGGGAGCTCTATATATATGGAGTCTTTTGAGGAGCCTCCATACTTCTTTCCAGAGTGGTTGAACAAGTTTACACTCCCACAAACAGTGCAGTAGGGTTGTAATAGTTTTATATTTCGATTGTAATACCACATGTACTTCACATGTTTTGTGAGAATCAAATTTTTTTAATTTTTTGTTGTTATAAAGGTAATATACAGAGGGGTTACTATTTCATAAGTTTAAGTGATGAGTACATTTCTTTTTAGGCACATCACCCCTTCCTTTACTCTCTCCCAGTTTTCCCCTTCCATTTCCACTCACATTGCCAACATAGAATGCCTGAAATTTTTTAATGTCATTTTATTCCTGTAGAAGTAGAAGTAAATGATAAACTTGGAAACATAATCCTGCATCTATGTTTCTAGTTCATTGTTCAAGCTCTTAGTCAAAACATTACACTCCTGATAATCCCCACTTGCCAAATTTTAGAAGGCATTAAAAAGCTTTGCAATCTCCACTTATCGGAATTACTTGGAGCCAGCATCGTTTCCAACTTCAGTGTTTGAGAATATTCAAGTATTTAAATATACACACAAATACACTGAATGAGATTTTGAGGATGGGACCTAGTTCTAAATACACTTTACGTTTCAACACTTTATACAAATACCCTGAAGTAACTTTACAGAGTACTTTTACGATGGCTGAGTCTTTTTGTGCTCAAGGGAACAATAGTTCCACTTCCAGCTTTTTGGTGGTTACTTGGAGTTAAGAGTCTCATGAACTTTCCTGCTCAGACTGGCTTCAAAATGCAATCATCAGATCTCAACTTCCTGAGTAGTTAGGATTACAGGTGTGAGTTCCGGTGCCCCACCTGTGTCTATAGGCACAGGGCCGCTACAGAATTTTCACCAAGATCATGTTGGGTCTCAAAAAATATTGCATGTCAACCATTTTGGTTTCCAGATGCTTAGTTCTGGATTGTTCTACATGATTTCGGAGGAAGCAAAATGGCAGCTCCACCAAAAGTGATTGTTTCCACTTTGACATAGGATGAAATTTCACTTTGCATTTGTCCAGTGGTGATAAATCTGCTTTTTTTTTATTGTAAACAGTAACAAAGTTGACTGTCTTAAATGTACTACTTAGTATCTTTAAAAATGGTTGCATTGTTATGCAACCATCAGACTCCCGACTTCTTTTCATCTTGCTGAACGGCAGCTCTGTTTTCATTAGACACTAAATCTCTGTTCCTGCCCTGCAGTCCCTGCAGTGCCATTCCACTTTCTGTCTCACCTCATAGAAGTTAAACCGTAGAGTAGATCTCTTCCTCTGTGCAACTTGTGGCACTCAGCATGTTCCAAAGTTTTTCTATATTGCAGTATATGCAAGAACTCGCTCCTTATGCAAAATTTTGCTTATCCATTCATCAGTTACTTAGTTACTTGTACCTCTTAGCTATTGTGAGTAACATCTTAATCTTTTAAAGGTGAGTTGTCTTTGCCTGGAAGAAAATGTGGAAAATGATCCCTGTAAATTTGCTCTGACATCAAGGACGGGTGATGTGGTAGAGACCTTCATTTTGCATTCATCCAGTCCAAATGTCCGGCAAACATGGATCCATGAAATCAACCAAATTTTAGAAAACCAGCGCAATTTTTTAAATGGTAAGTGCATTCCATTACTCAAAAATTCTCTTTTATCTCTCAAATGCATATTTATCTTTCTTGTCTATCTCCCTCCCATCACATATTGGTAGTAATGAAACAGCTTAGCAATTACCATATATGTTAGGGGCTGTTAGGTACTATTTAGCAAGCACTGGCATTATCCCTGTTGAGGAGACCGAGAGATAGAGTGGTAGGTGACGAGTCAGCATTTGAAACAAGTTATTCTTAAATGTTGTATTAAATACCAGTTAGTAGCATAGCATTGGGAAATCCTTGTATTTTTGTTTTTAAAAAATGAATTCATTGGGGCTGGGAAGGTGGCTCAGTGGTAGAGCACTTGCCTTGCATTTCTCAGCACCACATAAGCAAAAAAGAAAAAAAGCCAGAAGCAGCGCTGTGGCTCAAGTGGTAGAGTGCTAGCCTTGAGCTGAAGAGCTGAGGGACAGCGCCCAGGCCCAGAGTTCAGGCCCATGACCGGACCCAAAAAAAATAAAATTAAAATTAAAAAAAATAAAAAGAATGAATTCAGAGCTGGATGCCATAGCTCATACCTGTAATCATAGCTACTCAGAAGCCTGAGATGTGAGGATCGTGGTTTAAAGCTAGCCCAGGCAAGAAAGTCTCTAAAGATTCTTCTCTCTCATTACCCAGCAAAGAAATCTAGAAATGGAGCTGTGGCTCAAATGGTAGAGCTCTAGTTTTGAGCACAAAAGCTCTGGGACTGGCATACACACACTCAAAAATACAAACTCAGCTTGCAAGCAGGATTAAGCTATCATGTTAAAATTGATGATAACCACACAAGTTTCTGAGGAACAAAATCATGAATGGACAGAAGTGCTAGATACGGTAATCTCGTGATCACACTTAATCCTGTGCCATGCCTGACCAGCACAGTTTGTGAAGGGCTTCTGGCACCAGTGTTTTTCCTCACAATGTCTAGGTTCCTAGCTAGCTAACACTCTATCAATTGAGCCACAACTTCACTTCCAGCTTTTTGGTGGTTTATTGGAGATAAGAATCTCATAGACTTTACTGCCTAGGCTGGCTTCAAACCTTGCTCCTGAGATCTCAGCCTCCTGAGTAGCTAGGATTACAATCATGATCCACTAGCACCTGGCTTTCCACAAATCTTATTTCTGTGATTCCTGTTTTCCTACAGAAGACCATGTGATAAAATTGCTAAAATTGAGGGATAGGACAGCTTCCTGACCAGCAAATGACCTAATGGAGCTATGTAACTTTCCTTGTTTGATTTGTTCCACCTGAAGAACTGGGTGGTCTGCAAGTCATGCCCATGTGTGGTAGCTGAGGTGCTACTTCCCCCTCAGCCACTTTCTTCTTTTGCCTATCTACACCTTGTTCCTTGCGAAGTTACACTGCCCTTTCCCGCTATGCAGAGTCCTAGTGGACTGTAGCCTAGCAGTGCTGGGCCTCCCATTGCCACTGGGCCATACAGCTATTTTCACAGTGGGGAGGCAGCAGCTGTTCCTTCCAGTTCTGAGGAACTGATCTCAGCATTCTCGGCTTCGTTCAGTACCTTCTGATGCTCACTCCTGACAGTGCAGCCCCTCTTCCCTCTGTAGGAAACAGGGCAGTGGCCTTAGGAGCTTTCCTCTACCCATTACTGCTATCAGACTGAAGCCTCCAGAAGTGTAGCTATTCATAGGCCATGGTGTACCTCAATGAGCCTGACTTGGGTGTGGGATGCTCAAGCCTAGGACATCCTTTTGTTTGCAGGTTGTGCAGTTCACTTGTTCTTGGTGCCCTAACTAAGTCTCATCTGCTTGTCTTGCATGCCCACAGCCTTGACATCACCCATCGAGTACCAGAGGAACCACAGCGGGGGCGGTGGCAGCAGCAGCGGGGGCGGCAGCAGTGGGAGTGGGGGCAGTGGTGGCAGTGGGGCCTCCAGCGGTGGCAGCAGCAGTCACGGCGGTGGCCTCAGCAGCTGCAGCAGCGTCCCCAGCTCAAGCAGGAGCAGGCCCTCCCGGATTCCGCAGCCTGTCAGACACCACCCCCCCCTGGTCTCCTCTGCAGCCTCCAGCCAGGCAGAGGCAGACAAGATGTCAGGTATGTCCGCGTCCAGCCCCTCACTGCCTCCCTCCACCAGCAGCCTGGCCCTTGAGGCCAGCCTTGGCCAGCCTAGCCGGCTCCCCACAAGTGGAGACTCGGAAGGTCCTGAACGAGAAGCAGAGCCCATCCCCAAGATGAAGATGATGGAAAGCCCCAGAAAGACCACCGGGAATGCTTCTTGTTCAAGCCAAGAAGGAAATGCCAAAGAAGCACGGGGCAGCCTGGGCCCACTGCCCCTGAGCAAGCCTAGGCCTGGCGCCATCTCACCACTGAACTCTCCTCTTTCCACCACCTTCCCTTCTCCTTTGGGCAAGGAGGCCTTTCCCCCCAGCAGTCCCCTGCAGAAGGGGGGCTCCTTCTGGAGCTCCATTCCTGCCTCCCCCGCCAGCCGACCTGGCTCCTTCACCTTCCCGGGGGACAGTGACTCCCTCCAGCGGCAGACACACCGGCACGCAGCCCCCAGCAAGGACACAGACCGCATGAGCACGTGCTCCTCGGCCAGTGAGCAGTCTGTGCAGTCCACACAGAGCAACGGGGTAAGAACGCCTGGGAGCCTGCGCCTACCTCCCCATCGCCTCTGTCCTACCAGCTCTTCTAAACCTTCTGTGTCGCCGCCGCCCTCCTCCGTACTAACTCCAGCTCTCCAGCTCTCCGTGGCAGTAGTCGCCTCCTCCAGCACTCCCATGCACTGTGCAAGTAGACACGCCTGTGGCCTCTCTGTGTGTGCGTGTGTGTCCATGCCCTGCAGGCCGGGACAGGCACACACAGCCACCGAGTGAATGCAGACGCCGCTAACCCCTGCTGGGACTGTGGACAGTACCTGCTCTCATCTCCACTAACTTGCTCCTTGCTCTGTTCCTGTCTCCTTAATAAGAAAACGCTGATCATTAACACTCTCAATGTAGCATCTTTAATTACTTTCATCTTTCCAATCAGCACAGAATCTCGGAACTGTTTTTAGCCCCTGCCTCACTCATGCTGTTTTGTTTTGTTTTTGATATTTTTTGGGCTTTCTTTATTGAAAGGTCTTTTTTCCTGCTCTTTACCTGCTATTTAAAGGGTAGTCTTCACAGATTAGTAAGCGTTTGTCTTTGCAGCATTTTTGACTCACCTGATGAAAACAATACTCCTTCAAGAAACCTTCTAACAGCGACCCAGAGCAAGCTAAGCTGGCAGATGGCACGGGTGGGAGACACTATGCCCAGCAGGAATGTTCCCTCCACCTAAAGCTGAGCTGTAGACAGACTGGTGCACCTGGCAGGGGCTGCCAGCACCCAGGCCAGACAGGCTGTGGCCTGTCTCACCTCTCTCCAACAGGGGGCGCTGTGGGTAGTGTGAGTGCCACTGTGGTGGCCGGCCTGCTCATTTTCCTGTCTGTCACTTACCTTGTGTTCTCAAGCAGAAGGGTGGCTGTTCTGGGTTTTCCCCCTGTTCTGTGACTTCCTCACTGTCCTCCCACTGCTTTCCTACGTGGGAGATGACCTGGCCCATAACCCTTTCCTGAAGGCATGCATGAGTGAATAGAACTGTTCTAATAAGTCTGTTTGATTGCTTTATAAATTTTTAAATACATTTCCCTGAAAGGGTCTGTGTCTCTCTATCTCTGTACATATGAAAAAATTGGTGCTTTTGCATGTCTTCATCTTTCCTCTGGAGTTGTGTTAACTCCTCATTCAGGCTGATTTGGTCTTATCCTTTGCTCCCATTTTTGGTATTTTGTTAAATTCACATCACCTGTGGTTTTGTTAAACTTCATAGTTAATGGAGGAAGAAAGTAAGCAGTGGGCATTGACATCCTTATTTACACTGTGTCCTATCCTCAAATGTAAGAGTTGAGTAGGTATCTTCTGTGGTGGACTTTGCTATAAACACCTCGCTGTGTTTCACACAGCAAGAGAGACTACAGCTAGATTGCAAGTTCTAGGTGGGCAGTGAGCGTCCAAATGCAGTTTTAGAAAAGAAGGTGCAGACAGTCCAGGGATGAACCCCACCCGTCCGCACCTCAGTCTACTCTATGCAGGCCTGCTCTTAGAGCTGCCGCCCGCACAAAACCGCCTGCGGTCGTCTGTTGACTTCATCCTAACCTGGACACATTCCCAGTAAGCACAAGAGAAGTTTTTAGACTTAGGTCTCCAAATCAATCCCTGTTCAACACAGGAGCCAGTGCTGGTCTTCTCTGGACATTACAGAGTAGACATGGATTAAAGACCACAGCCTAGCTCTAGCTGTGGATGATCAGTCCTGAGAAAAGGCACAGTCTACCAGTAGCAAACAGTCCAGTAAATGCCTCCTGCATTTTCTTAGTGATAGGCAACTAGGAAAGGGAAACTGCCTCACAGAAATGGGAGGGGGCAGGGGCTGGGAAGACTGAAAGGCCCAAAGTAGGGATTTTAAAATGTCCTATACTGCTTTCCACCATTCTGCTGTTTAAAAACAAACCATTGCTGCCTCCACCTATTGGAGCTGGTAGCCATTGCAGATCAGCAGAGCCTTCTTTCCCTTATCGACTTGTAGGGTCACAGCCTAGCAGCTGTCTGACCTGCCACTGCATCTTTCCTCTGCGAAGTTCTCCTGAGAGCAGAGTGAATGAAGCTGGCCCTTGCTTCCGCTGGCTCTGTGAGCTTTTCCTCCTGCTCATCTCCTGGGCAGCAACAAAAGTGCCCACACATTGGAGCCGCTCCAGGCACTCCAGCCACTCCACCACTTACAGGTGGTCTTTGCTTACTTACCTACCATCTCCCATTCGGGGGACTGATGACTAGGCCCACTGACAGGGTGGGAGTTTGTGAGAATGTAAGTTGATGGATTTGAAATGCCTAACTCATAGCCTAGCACAGAAGTTGGGTTCACAAAAGTTAATAGCTATGATTATTGTGAGCAAATACGGAAATTATGAAATATACCCTGGTATGACTTACTAAACAAAGCAGCTGTGCCACAGAAGTCTTGCGTTTACATTTTGTAGCACATTTGGCAGTGTGATCTCAAAACTATTCAGTGATAACATTTTAATATTTTAATCAATATTAAAGAACCTGCTAAAATAGGATTGTCTAAATGAGTAGGCAGAGACTGAAGCCTGACATGCATGGTACCCTTTGAGTTAAAAGGTCACAGACGAGCAGGAGATTTCCACGAGGGAGAGGAACCAGCCCCAGACCCTTCTGTAGATGCTCATGGTAGCTGCTCTGTGTTCTATTTAATGCTCACTGCAAGTTATATCCACAGCCCTGGTCTCTACAGTTCCCAGGCTTGGCCTCACAGAGGCTGACAGAAAGGTCTCCTCTTACTTGTCCCTTCAGCTGGCTCAGTGGGACCCAGGCTCACGAGAGGGGCTGTGTCAGGGTTGTTTGCTGCACACTTGTCTGAGAGCCCAGCAGAGGCTGGCATCTGCAGAGTCAGCAGCAGTGTGGAAGTACTTTAACCAGATCACAGAAACGGGGGTTTAAAAGAGGGGATGTGGGGACATGCAGCTCATTAGATACAACTTTGGGACAGATACCCGCTGCTTGTATTGCTTCTACTCAGCTTGTGAGCCTGGGGAGGTGGCCATAAGAAATCATCTTTGTTTTACTCTTGCATTCTTGCATATTGACTGAGTCACTGAAGTCCAAATGGCAATACTAGGACCAAGCAACACTCTTAACACTGTGGTCCATGGCATCCAAATGCTGGGGACACTTGAATCTGGCAAACTCGATAAGACGACCACCCACTAAGGGACATAATAGAGACAGCAACTATCCTGAGGAGCAAAAGAGTAGTTGATGTGCTTTCCAGGGTCCACAAGTTCTTTTTTCTTTTTGGTCAGTTGTGGGGCTTGAACTCTCTGGGCTTGGATGCTGTCTTTGCACTCTTCAGCTCAAGGCGAGCACCCTACCACTTGAGCCACAGCACCACTTCTGGTTTTCTAGTGTTTTATTGGAGATAAGAGTCTCACAGACTTTTCCTGCCCGGGTTGGCTTTGAACCACAATTCTCAGATCTCAGCCTCCTGATCAGCTAGTATTACAAGCGTGAGCCACCAGGGCCTGGCCACACTGTTCTTTATAAAGAGGAAAAGAGGTAGAAGCAGTTAGGCAGGCCCGCAGCCTATGGTTCGGGAATAGACGTTCCCAGTAGACATTTCACCAGAAAGATTGAGGGATATCCCCATTATCTGATCTGCCAGTGAGCTGAAGTGCTACTCTTGCACCTTTTAAACTTCCTAGTTTACTGTTGGGGGTTGGACATTCTCTAAACTGGGATCTCCATGATGACTTGGCTACTCCTAGGAAAGCAAAAGGAAATGAACTGAAACAGTATCAGACTCCCAGGGTAAAGTATGATCATTACAGTGGCTTTGGAGATTGTTTCTAAATTGCTGTCCAGAGTGGTCTTGGCTTTCAGTTGCTGGAAAAGCGTTGCTGAGCAAGCTGATGCCCTCTCTGTCTGATGAGCCCTGCTGTGGGGCAGTGACCGCTGCTATCACATCTTAGCTCAGTGCCTATCTGCCTTGTTCTCTTCATCTTTTCCTCTCCAGAGTGAAAGTAGCAGCAGTAGCAACATCTCCACCATGCTGGTGACACACGATTACACGGCAGTGAAGGAGGATGAGATAAGCGTCTATCAAGGAGAGGTCGTTCAAATTCTGGCCAGCAACCAGCAGAACATGTTTCTGGTGTTCCGAGCCGCCACTGACCAGTGCCCTGCAGCCGAGGGCTGGATTCCGGGCTTTGTCCTGGGCCATACCAGTGCAGTCATTATGGAGAACCCTGATGGGACTCTCAAGTGAGTGCTCAGAGTGAAGCCAGCCATGTGGCAGGGCTCTGTACACTGGGAGAAGAAAGACCCTGGAGGGTTGGAGCACTGTGAAGGGAAAGCTGGGCCAGGGTCTGTTCCTAAAGTTCACCTGACTTGAAAGTGAAAACACCGTGTCCTTCCACCCCTCGGGTTTAGCTTCCTACAGTCCTCTAGTAACCTGTATTTTGAAACAGTTTTTCTCAAGTCACAAGAGTCCCTGACGTTGTTGGGTAGAGGCAGACGCCCTTCTAAACACCCCTAACTTACTCTCAGGGGTGTTCAAGGAAACATTCATAATGGGAACCTGTCTTGAAAAAGAATCTGAAATGGTTTTGCTGCAGTTGACACTGTCTTTATACTATCAGTGCTGATTTTTAAAACTATTCCCTTCCCTTGACTCTCCCTGAAATGCTTAACTGTGCTTAATCATGACTGTTAACAGAATTCTGTGACTTTTTAGGACCTAGGGTTTGAATTCAGGGTCTCACACTTGCTAAGCAGACATTATACTACTTGAGCTACAGCCCAACCCTTTCTTGCTTTATTTTTCAGATGCCTCCCGTTTTTGTCCAGGACTAGCCTTACACAGTGATCTATGCCTCCCACATAGTTGGTACCAAAGACACTGTCAGGCCCCAACTTCTTGGTTGAAATGGGTTCTTCATTTTTGCTCAGGCTGACCTCAAACCACAGTCCTCCTGATCTCTGCCTCTCAAATAGCTAAGACTACAAATGTGAGCCATTGTGCCTGGCTTACTTTGTACTTTTTATGTCACAAAGACCAAATACAGGTCTGGAGTCAGCTGTGCAGCTGCACCAGTGTGTCAGTAACAATCTCTGGACTTTGCTGGGGGGTGGGGGGGGCGGGAAGAAGGGGTTGTTGTTTGTTTTTGTTTCTTTGTTTCATTTTTTGCCAGTCCTGGGTCTTATAATCTAGGCCTGGGCTTTGTCCCTAAGCTTCTTTTGCTCAAGGCTGCCACTCTACCATTTGAGCTACAGCACCATTTCTGGCTTTTTCTGTGAACTGGAAGTAAGGTTCTTATGGACCTTCTTATCCAGGCTGGCTTCGAACTGTGATCCTCAGATCTCAGCCTCCTGATTAGCTAGGATTAAAAGAGTGAACCACTGATGCCTGGCTTCAAACTATATTCTTAAACCCTGCATTAAGACTCATCAGGAAAAAAGGACTAATAGGGTCTATATATGGAGAAGTAAGTATACTTACTTTGAGGACTCGGCTCCGCCAGTAGAGAAACAGCCTCCTCCTGCTTGTGATGTGGTTTTTGTTTTGTTTGTTTTGGTTTTGCAGTGCTACAACTTGAACTCAGGGTCTTAAGCACATTAGGCAAGTGCCATGCCACTTAACTGCAACCAGCCCAGGCCAGGCTGGTCCTAACCATGCCTTCGCTGGTCACTTAAAGGAAAGCAATGAACTTCGCACATTAAAATATGTTCATCTCACCCAAAAGTCCTCAGAGAAGCACCGGGAATGTTTGACCAGATTTCTGGATACTCTGGTCCAGTCAAGTTGGCATGCAAAATTAACTATCACATGCCTCTTTTTATTTTAATTCTTAACATTTTCTTTTATGAAATTGTTGTTTAATCTCGTTTTTTAGGTATATCACTCTCAAGTTCTATTTGATGGAGATTGCAGTTACTAAAGGATTTTCAGTCCCTTTGTACAGCATGAATATTGAATATTCAGTGCTTTCAGTTTGTATTGTTGACAAGGCGTAATGCAAACAGTTTTTGCTTTTCCTCCATAGGAAGTCAACATCTTGGCACACAGCACTCCGTTTAAGGAAAAAATCTGAGAAAAAGGACAAAGACGGCAAAAGGGAAGGCAAGTTAGAGAATGGCTACCGGAAATCACGGGAAGGACTCAGCAACAAGGTGTCGGTGAAGGTGTGTGAAATCCCTCTGAGGGCAGGCAGGCAGGCAGGCAGTCAGGGGAGGGGACAGCTGCACAGGGCTGGACTCACAGAGCTGGGCTCGTGCCTTGCCTCCTACCTTCCCCCTAAGTAATGTCCTGCCAGGCCTCATTAGCAGCCTCTCAGGCTGTCCTGTCTATCTGGCGTGAGGTGTGTGTCGCCAGGAACCAGGTGCCCACATGGCTTTAATACACATGGTTCCATTCCCAGAGGAAAAGCCTGGATTCTCCGAAACAGAATGCAGAGAAGCTGTGGCTCAGACTTCCTTGCTTCTCCCTAGGCCAGGAGGAAGTGATGAGATGCTTTGTACAGGATCTTAGCTTAAAGTTTCCTTGAGGGCAGGTGTAGCTAGTTCTTTTTGAAAACCACATTGTTTTGCCTGGAGAAAAAATAAATACCGCCGGAAAGCACCCTGGGTCAGGGTCCCTTCTGCTTTGAGAAGAGATCCAGCCCCAACTGGACTCAGCCTGTAAGGTGGGAGATTTAAATACCTGTTTGTGTTGATGGGCAGGAAGAGTAAAGCTCACCAATTTTTGGATACATTTAACACCATGAAAGGTACTCTGTTTTTGTTAATTTTCAGGCAAGCCAAGTTCTGGAATCTTAGTAACCTATCTTAAAGTATCTCAAGTTTTTACTAAATACCTGTTTCCCTTTTCCATTTCAGCTTCTCAACCCCAACTACATTTATGACGGTGAGTTCTGTTGTCTTGCCTCCAATCTTGGTGATCATAGGTCTGTGCGTCTTGTTTAAGTGCATTAGCGGTCCAGGGGGGGCGCGGGGTGTGGAAGGATATGGAAAGGAACCAAGGGTGACCGGTGTTGACCGACTGCTTTCCTTTGCAGTTCCCCCAGAATTCGTCATCCCATTGAGTGAGGTCACATGTGAGACAGGGGAGACAGTTGTTCTGAGATGTCGTGTCTGTGGCCGTCCCAAGGCCTCCATCACTTGGAAGGGCCCTGAACATAACACTTTGAACAATGATGGCCACTACAACATCTCATACAGGTAAGGGACCCTCTAGAGGGGTCCACTGACTGGGAACACAGTCGATCTGATTACATGGTGACCAGAAAGGCTCTGACACTGTCCAGGAGGACACAGTTCATACCTGGGCATGCAGTCTGAACTGTGGTACTTGAGCTTTTCATTGTGGTAGGGACTAAATGAGGGGAGGTCAGAACGGGTGCCGAGATGATAAGCCTTCCTGATACGCATGGTGCTCTCCCATGTGGCAGTGACTTGGGGGAGGCTGCTCTGAAGATCGTTGGTGTGAGCACAGAAGACGACGGCATCTACACATGCATCGCTGTAAACGACATGGGGTCCGCCTCGTCTTCAGCCAGTGTGAGAGTTCTAGGTAAGTCCCCTGGGCTGGTGCGTACTTCTGTGCCATCTCCTGAAGTCTGTCATGTGCCCCACACTTGGGTGATCTGACATGTGGAACGAGAAGTCACTAACTGATAGAAACCAGGTCCCTGCTGAAGGAGTACCTTCCAGAATAGGCACAGGGAACAGGTCCCAGTCTCAGGTGTCATGGGGAAAGGAGCACAGGGGACACAAGGATATGAGTTAAAAGAAGAAAAAGAAGGGGGCCAGGCACCAGTGGCTCATGCCTGTAAGCCTAACCACTCATAAGACTGAGATCTGAGGATCATGGTTCAAACCCAGGCTGGGCAAGAAAGTCTGTGAAACTCTTATCTCCAGTAAACTACCAAAAAGCCAGAAGTGGAGTTGTGGTTCAAGTGGTAGACAGCTAACTGAATAAAAGAAGCTGCTGAGGGACAGTGCCCGACCCTAGGATGGCACTCAGAAAGGGAAGGGGAGAAGGTTCTATAGTAGAGCGCTAGGTCTGTCCCAGATCCCAACAGTAGACCTTGGGGATAGAAAAGGGGGCACAGGGAGGTTTCTGCCAGCCTTCAAAGAGGGCCAGGCTCCAGTGGCTCTTTGGTGCCCACAAGACCTACCCGCCCTGGCACCCTCAGAAGGCAGAGCCAAGGAGAGGAGAGCTGGGGGTGTCTCGGCTGAACTGTACAGAACTCAGCTTAGGCATGCTCATAGTCCCCTGTAATGATGCTTGTCATGGGTAGATGCTAAGAAAGCACAGGCTGTACAACATAGGCAGCTGAGCATTCTCATCCACCCTCCATCTACTCCAGGTATGGGAGCTGCTTCCAACAGAGGAAATAAAAGTCTCAACTGAAAGATAAATGAGTTCTTGATCACCTTACCCTGAGTGTGGCCAGTAAGCAGAACTGTCTAGAACCTGACCCATAAGTTTTAATCATGTGTTTTAATTCTTATTAAACTTCTTAATTCAAAACATGCTCTGCAGAGCCGGGCCCTGGTGGCTCACGCCTGTAATCCTAGCTACTCAGGAGGCTGAGATCTGAGGATTGCGGTTCAAAGCCAGCCCGGGCAGGAGAGAGGACTCCTATCTCCAATAAACCACCAGAAAACCGGAAGTGGTGCTGTAGCTCAAGTGGTAGAGCGCTCGCCTTGAGCTGAAGAGCTGAGGGACAGCGCCCAGGCCCAGAGTTCAAGCCCCACGGCCAACAACAACAACAAAAAAAAACCATGCTCTGCTTTTTGAATTATGGCAAAAGAAAGAAAAATTTGAAATTTGAAAATTAGGAATCATGGACTTTTTTTTTTTTTATATTTTTGCCAGTCCTGGGGCTTAAACTCAGGGTTTGGGCACTGTCTCTGAGCTTCTTTTTGCTCAAGGTAGCATTCTACCACTTGAGCCACAGCACTACTTCCAGCCTTTTCTGTTTATATGGTGCTGAGTTATCAAACCCAGGGCTTCATGCATGTGAGGCAAGCACGCTACCACTAGGCCACATTCCCAGCCTGATTTTTTTTATCTTTTTTTTAAAGTCATAGATGTTACATAGTGGATTGTTTTTAATAAGTTACTCCAGAAAGTTAAGAGCAGCAGATGTGAGTCCTGTTTCAAAATCGCCTGTTGTAAGAAGTTTTATTTGCAGACCTGGATGATTTAATTCAGTCTAGTCACACTAGTGGCACTTGTCCTGTCTGTGTTGAAGTTGTTCGCTCCCTACGCACTGTCTAGTTTCTGTGTCTGAATTCCTTCTGGCCCTGGCTGTCTCCCTGAACAAGGTGGTTGTGCACTGTGGTTGGCTCAGAGCAGGAGAGCTGCTGGAGGCGCACTGCCTACAGAAGTGCCCAGCTGTGAGAGGGAATTCTGAACCAGAGTGCTGAGTCCCATCACCTCAGACTTATGCAGGCCCATAATTCAAGGATGGTGGGAAGAAAACAGGTTAGGAATATGTCTCACTTAATAAGAAAGAGAAGCTGTGAATAAGAGGGACCAAGGGTCTGTGGCACTGGTTGGAGGTTGAACTCTGGGCCTGGTGCTGTCCCTGAGCCTCTTTGTGCTCAAGGCTAGCACTCTACCCCTTGAGCCACTCCGCCACTTCTGGTTTTTAAGTGGTTAATTGGAGATAAGAGTCTCAAAGGGACTTTTCTGCCTAGGCTGGCTTCAGACTGCTAGCCTCAGACAGATCTCAGCCTCCTGAGTAGCTGGTTATAGGTGTGAGCCACCACTGCCCAGCTCTTTCTGGCTGTTTCTTGAACTAGCTTGTAGTCAAAAATGACTTTTACATTTGATACACTTTTCTGCATATACTCAATATTTGAATAAAAATATTTTTTTAAGAAACAAAATTGCTGGGCCAAAGGGAGTGAGAATGCTGAATGGGTAACACTGATCAAGATGCTGCCTTGTTAAATGGCAGCGTCCTTTGTACACTACTTAAAGCTAGTTTTAAAACTGTTGAACACAGAAGAGTATGCAAGCCATTTCAGTGAAAAATAAAGAAGGAAAAATGCTCTATAGGCTAAAATCCAGGTTTTTGTTGTTGTTGTTTTGTCGGTTGTGGGGCCTGAACTCTGGGCCTGGGCGCTGTCCCTGAGCTCTTCAGCTCAAAGCTAGCACTCTACCACTTGAGCCACAGCACCACTTCCGGCTTTTTCTGCTTATGTGGTACTGAGGAATCAAACCCAGGGCCTCATGCATGCAAGGCAGGCACTCTACCACTGAGCCACCTTCCCAGCCCCCTCCAGTATTTCTTAGTTGGATTTAATAGGCACTTCAAAATTACCTAATATACTAGCTTCATAAATGAGGCTCGTGCAGTAATTCTTCTACAGTGCAGTTAGAAAGTATTATTCCAGAGTGACTAGCATCATCATCAACAAAGCACTCGAAAGGAGTAAGAGTTACTCCATTTATGACAAAAACAGACCATACGCACTGTGTACTCTGGGGTAGTGATTGAAATGAAGGCCTTGCTTCCTCTGTCTGCTTCAGTGAGGAGTTGCGCTCTGGTGTTCTTGGGCTGCTACCTCTGAGGCCACACATTTGGGCTCATTCCAGTCGAGTGGAACCCTCAAGGGCTCCTGCAACAGCAGTTCTGGCTGAGGACTTTCCCGCAGGCTGCTAACTCTCTTGCCATGGGGGAGACACTTTTCCAGCTATGGGTGGCATGGGGAAGGTACAGGAGGAAGTGGCTTTACCACACCGAGCCTTGAAGACAAATCATTCGCTGTGGTTTAAGGAAAGACATGCCTGTTGATGACCTGGCCAGTACTCAGGTGAGGGTAAAGATGAGCACATACTCTAGCTGAGCTGGGCCACAGGGCATGTGAGAGGATGAAGGAGGAACTAAGTGGACTGAGGCCAGAGGAAGTGTCCAGAATCCAAGGAAAGCTTGAGACTGTGATAGAAGCCGTTCTTCCTGGCGTCATCTGGCAACTGGGTCACCTGGTTACAAAATAAGAGGCTTAATGATTATTCCTGCAGGAAGAATATAGAAAGAATGTTTTATTTTCCTTGTACGTACATAATACTGCATTCCTTTTAATCTGGCACTTGTATGATAAAGTTCTGTCTTTGTCTGCAGTGTCTTTTTTATTTATTAACTTAAATCCTGTAGTCACAATCCCACGATTTCTGGTGGTTATGAAAAGGAGGCCTAGCTTCAAGCCAGGTGAAGGAAAGGGAACTACCTAAAGCAACACTGGCCATTAGTAATAAAATGAAAGCCATAGATGAAGTTTTGTATTTTTTCTAAAGATCATATTTTTAAAACAGTAAAGTTAGTTTCATCAGCACATTTAATTTAATCTAGCATATTTGTACCACTGGATTCTAACATAAGATCAATAGTCTGTACATTTTCCCGGAGATATCTTACATTCTTGCTTCATGCCAAGTCTCAGCATCCAGTGGATGTGTTACGCTATAACGCATCTTCACTTCAGTGATCTGCATTTAAGATGTTTAGAGGCTGTGTGGCTGTCATGGCGGGCACTGCAGGTCTGTGATTTCTCACCAAGATGCTTTTCTTGTAGGTCCAGGAAGTGATGGGATCATGGTGACCTGGAAGGACAATTTTGACTCCTTCTACAGTGAAGTGGCTGAGCTTGGCAGGTAGGAGGGAAAACCAGACCCCCTGGGTTAATAAAGTTAAATGGGTATGTTACCAACAGTAGAAGGTGCAGTCTTGTGTGCTGAGACTAACATGTGAGGGCCCTGGGGTAGAACACTGAAGAAGAAATGAAGCCGCTTTCAGCTTGGTTCCCAGGGAGAATGGAGTTTGTAGGCCATGGGCTCTCCATGGGTGGAATGAACGAGCCTCCCTTCTGTGCTTCTAGAAGAGTGCTATCTAGGTGCACCCTCTGGAGAGTTCGGAGGAAGGACACAGGCTTCTTGTGGGATTTGTTTTGTGGAAGCCCTGTTGGGAAAGATTGTGCATGTAGATTTAAAAGAATTGCTGTATAATCAGATGGATTATCAGGATCCCCATGACCCAAACTAAGAAAGAGGTTTCAACATAGTGGGGCTGCTTTCTCAGAAGAGGCAGCCTCGGCCAGGCGCTGGTGGCTCACGCCTGTAATCCTAGCTACTCAGGAGGCTGAGATCTGAGGATTGCGGTTCAAAGCCAGCCTGGGCAGGAAAGACTGTGAGACTCCTATCTCCAATAAACCACCAGAAAACCAGAAGTGGCGCTGTAGCTCCAGTGGTAGAGCGCTCGCCTTGAGCTGAAGAGCTGAGGGACAGTGCCCAGGCCCAGAGTTCAAGCCCCACGACCGACCAAAAAATAAAGAAAGAAAGAAGAGGCAGCCTCGGCCAGGTGGTTCAGTAATGCCAGATAGCCAGGCTCCCTTGAGCATTGCACTTCCAGGCATTGTGCTCCATGGGCAGAAGAGGAAGGGAAGGAAGCAGGAGCACTGGCCTTATTCCTTCTGAAAAGCTTTCCAGGAAACTCCACCAGCAGTGTCCTCCTACATTCCAGTGGCCACACTTGGTCACCTGACTCCAGTGAAGTACCTCCCAGTTACATATTGCAGCATACTAAGTCCACCCCATTCACTATCTTACCAGTAGGGGTATGTCCATCCTCCTAGTGCTGCAGCTTGATTGACTGGGAAGATAGTTTGTCCATCTCTGCAGAGCTCAGCCAGCTGGCATACCACACCTCCCATGTTCAGGGCACCCTGCCCAGGACTCCAGCTTCTGTCTACATAGACATTTACTCTGGACTTTCTCACATGATGGCACGAGCAAAAACGACAAAGCCCCTTAAAACTCTGCCTCAGAGACCAACAACTGCATTGCATCCATAGGGCAGCTGCTCAGTTACTGGGAAGCTGAGAAGGAACCCCACTTCCAGTGGGAATAGCAAGCGGTGGCATCTGTAAACCACCTCAGCTGCCCATCACAGGTTTATGCATAGTCTTCATCTGTACCCAGTGCACTAGTCTTCCTTGCTGTCCAGATCTAATCTGGTAGGGCAGCAGGCTTGAGCCTGGTGCCTTAGGTCATCTTATCCAGATAACGTTACAGTGCTGTTAGGGCTCTGGTGTGGGTATGGAGTACAGCTCCGGGGTCCCTGATAGTGAACTTGGGGACAGCTTGCCTGCCCTCCAGTGCAAGGCCAGGACCACTGCAGATGTCCCTTTCAACAAGTGTGTAAAGGGTGCTCCCAGGAGGCTCTGATCCACTCACCCCACCCTCTGATGATGAGAGTGGTGATGAGGATGGAGGTGGAGGCAGCCAAGGAGCCCTGGTGCTGTCACTTCTGTCATTCTCAGCGGTCAGGAAGCCATCGGGCCTGCACAGTCCTGGCATGAGAAATGGAGGCTGTAGGGTGGAGGAAAGGTGTGGCAGTGGAGAGGTTTGGACAAACACAGGTGTTAGACCTTCATGGCACCGCATCTTCTCCCACAGTGTGGACTGGAGTTGGGGAAGCACCCACGGAAGTGGCCCTCTGTGCAGTCCATAAATAAGTCTTTTCCTCAGAGCTCTCTGAAAATTATTTTAACATATTTTACAGGGGCAGATTTGCTGTCGTTAAGAAATGTGATCAGAAAGGAACAAAACGAGCAGTGGCCACAAAGTTTGTAAACAAGAAGTTAATGAAGCGTGACCAGGTCACCCATGAGCTTGGCATCCTGCAGAACCTCCAGCACCCCCTCCTCGTTGGCCTCCTTGACACCTTCGAGACTCCCACCAGTTACGTCTTGGTTTTGGAGATGTGCGTACACCTGACTTTCTTCCCTCTGTAATCATTGGCCTCAACTCCAAGCACTTTTATTGATTCTGTTTCTTCTCTGAGGAAAGATAGTAAAGGTTTGGGGGTTTTGGGGGGAGGGGTGGGTTTTGTTGTTGTTGTTGTTTGTTAGTCATGGGGCTTAGACGCTCTGGGCACTGTACCTGAGCTCTTTTGCTCAAGGCTAGCTCTCAACCACTTGGAGCCACAGCTCTACTTCCAGTTTTCTGGTGGTGAGTTGGAGATAAGAATCCCACTGACTTGCCTGTTCTGGCTGGTTTTGAACTACAGTCCTCCAGATCTCACCTTCCTGAGTAGCTAGGGTTATATGCATGAACCACTGGGGATTAAACTCGGCCTCACACTTACTCAGCAGGTACTCTACCAGTTGAGCCACACCTCTGGCCCATCATTTGGAAAATCTCCATCCGTTGTTCAGTAGGGAGAGTAGGATTGATAGGGTAACCAAGAGGTCAGGTGGCAGAAGATTCGCCTTCACTTGCAGGGACTCCCTCAGGGCCTTGCACCTGGTATTGTTTTATTATGTTCTTTTTTTTTTAAGAAATTGCGAAATTGCGTCAACTTTGTATTCATATACTGTTTTGTAGAATGGGAACTTCTTTGTACAACCACTTAAAGATAATAATTTTTTTTTTGGTTGGTCATGGGCTTGGGCACAGTCCCTCAGCTCTTCAGCTCAAGGCGAGCGCTCTACCACTTGAGCTACAGCGCCACTTCCAGTTTTCTGGTGGTTTATTGGAGATCGAAGTCTCACGGTCTCTCCTGCCCCGGCTGGCTTTGAACCGCAATCCTCAGATCTCAGCCTCCTGAGTAGCTAGGATTATAGGCATGAGCCACCAGCACCCAGCTAAAAAAAATTTTTTTAATAAATAATTAAATTGTTAGAGCTTTAAAAAAAATTGTGTCAAGATGCATGGCGCACTTATGAACTGATTTGTTGTCGCTCCTTTGTACTACTACTTAAAGATAATGAAAATACAATTTTTTATAAAAAGAAATTATAAACTTAACACTTAGGAAGTAGAATCAGAAGGATCATACCTGGAAAGATCCTGTCTTAAGTAAAAAGGAAGGAAGGGAAGGAAGACAAAGAACAGAAAGAAGGAAGAAAAGAGATTGTAAATGCATCCATCCTATCCACCCTATACTCTTCATATGGCAATGCTCTTGCAAGGCCTAAAAACCTTGGGTCTGGCCTACCACCCTACCCAGTATCCTGGGGGAAGTGGATGTCTCAGAAGAACCTAACAATCCAGTACTGCATTTCTAAAATCGTCCCCTAGGGCCCAGAAACACAGTTTTCCAGACCCTGTCCCTGGAATGGGAGACACTTCATAGAGCCAGAGGGGAACCCAGCAGCATGTACGAAGAACAAGCCGGCTGGCCAGGCCTGCCAGCTAGTTTCATGCTCAGTGCACTCACTGGCTCATGGAAGACTTCTGTGGACTGCTGTCCTGGGGATACACTGAGCCTTTACTTGTGGAAAGACCAGACCAGGCCCCTCCTGTGAGCCCCCGGGCCTGGGGCTCCTTTCTGGCACAAGCTGCTGTGCCTTTTCCCCCAGGAATTTTTTTTTTTTTTTTTTTGTCGATCATGGGGCTTGAACTCTGGGCTTGGGTGCTGTCCCTGTGCTCTTCAGCTCAAGGTGAGCGCTCTACCACTTGGCCACAGCGCCACTTCCGGTTTTCTAGTGGTTTACTGGAGATAAGAATCTCATGGACTTTCTTGCCCGGGCTGGCTTTGAACCGAGATCCTCAGATCTCAGCCTCTTGAGTAGCAAGGATTACAGGCATGAGCCACCGGCGCGTGGCTCCCCCAGGGATTTTAACAAGCTTCAGTGCCAGGTGCAAGGCCCTGAGGGAGTCCCTGCAAGTACAGGAGACTCTTCCACCACCTGACCCCTTGGTTACCCTATCAATCCTACTCTACCTACAGAACAACAGATGGAGATTTTCCAAATGGTGGGCTGGAGGTGTGGCTCAACTGGTAGAGTTTTGTGGCTCAAAATCCTTGACAAGTCTCCTCCATTTCTGGTCTAAAGCTTCAATTTGCCCAGCTGTTATTTTTTTCTTTTTTCACCACACTAGGGTAAAGACCAGTGCCCTAGCATGTGCTCATCTTGAGCTACTCTGCATCTTCTATTTCTTTTTTTTTTCTTGAAAATTATTTGGTTTGACCTCATTATACTAGTGACAGAATTAATTTTAACAACACAGTTAAGAACTTCATAACATATTCCCATTAATTACAGGTTGCTATTCTTTCTATACATTCCTGTTTTGCACAGGGCTGCACTGATCCCAGGATTCAGCGAGCCCTTGGCCTATTTATGGGACCTTAGGAAAGTTATACCTTTTCTGGCCTGAGTTTCCTCAACTCTATAACAAGGGCAAAATAAGCCTTTTTTCAGAGAGTGTTGAGAATAAAGTGAATTGGTGGAAAGCTTTTAGTCCACACACATGGATGATACTTAATTTTAACATTAAAAATTAAATTCAGCTGGGTGCTGTTGGCCACACCTTGTAATCCTAGCTATTCAGGAGGTTGAAACCTGGAGGATCACAATTCAAAACCAGCCTGGCAAAACAGTCTGCAAGATATCTCCAAATAACCAGCAAATAGGAAGCCTGACTAAAGTCGTAGAATACAGTTGAGCAAGCATAATGCCAAGTTTGGGGTTTTTAATTAAAGTAGGAAAACTTGACTGGAACATTAAGCACTTCCTGTATGGCTACATCTGGCTCTTTACTACATGATCTTGTCCTGCCATCTCAGGACACACAACCTCATCCAGCCTCTGTACACAGGAGGAAACCAAGGCTTGGGCAGGCAGAGTGCCCCTTTCTTTCCTGCACAGACACCTGCAGAATACCTGCTGTGTGCCAGGTGCTGTCCAGCAGCTTGCCACAGGAGGGTTTGAGTCCTGACTGACACTCTTGTCCACCTGCTTTCCCTGATGGCTGAGATCCTTGTTCCCACTTGAATTTTCACAGTGAGAATGTGAAAACTCAGCCTCCTTGTCCAGCGATGCCCGACATACTGATGAGGCACTCACAGTGAGGGCCAGCACCAGGCGTTGACCTCTCGCTGAGCTGCATGGGTCTGTAAGTGGAAGCCCATTGTGACAACCTCCCTCCCCCTCTCCCCCTCCTGCAGGGCTGACCAGGGCCGCCTCCTGGACTGTGTGGTACGATGGGGAAGCCTCACTGAAGGGAAGATCAGAGCACACCTGGGGGAGGTTCTGGAAGCTGTGCGATACCTTCACAACTGCAGGATAGCACACCTGGACCTAAAGGTTAGTGGGTCAAAGGCTGGACAAGGATGGCTCCAACCAACATCCAGCATGCCAGCCTGGCTGGTCCTCCTAAGCGAAGCCCTGAGCCCTGGGGCTGGGTGGAAATGGCGGGGAGCGGAAGGCAGTTAGAATACTGGTTCCTTTAAGTCTTGTAGCATGTCATGAGACTTTGGAAAGTTCCTGTGAGTTCTGCTGAGTTAGTATGGCACCCAGTTCAGTGGAATGCTGGAAAGTAGAAGAAAGTGTTACTCTTTATGTAGAAGGAAACTGAACACTCCGCATTGTGACCCAGAGCGCAGAGCTGCCCTGCACTGAGCTGGCCAGCGGCCTTCAGGTCCCTCTCCCCTCCCCTGGGAGGGCTGTTTCTGCCCAGCAGGAGCTGTTTGTTTTAGTGACTTCAGGGCAGCCTTCCATCTCCCCACAGGATACTGACAGTCAGCTTGAGTTTGGGGATGCGTGGAAATGATGCTTGCCTTATCCTGTGTTCTAGCCTGAGAATATCCTGGTGGATCAGAGTTTAGCCAAGCCCACCATTAAACTGGCCGACTTTGGAGATGCTGTCCAGCTCAACACCACCTATTACATCCACCAGTTACTGGGGAACCCAGAGTTTGCAGCCCCTGAAATCATCCTTGGGAATCCTGTCTCCCTGACCTCGGACACATGGAGTGTTGGAGTGCTCACCTATGTGCTTCTCAGCGGCGTGTCCCCTTTCCTAGATGACAGCGTGGAAGAGACCTGCCTGAACATTTGCCGATTAGACTTTAGCTTCCCGGAGGACTACTTTAAAGGGGTTAGCCAGAAGGCCAAGGAGTTTGTGTGCTTCCTCCTGCAGGAGGACCCGGCCAAGCGTCCCTCAGCTGCACTGGCCCTGCAGGAGCAGTGGCTGCAGGCAGGCACCGGCAATGGCAAAGGCTCGGGCGTCCTCGACACATCCAGACTGACCTCCTTCATCGAGCGGCGCAAACACCAGAATGACGTTCGACCTATTCGTAGCATTAAAAACTTCTTACAGAGCAGGCTTCTGCCTAGAGTTTGACCTATCTTGAAGTTCTTTCTCATTCTCTTTCACCTGCCAATCAACTAATTTGAATTTTGAAGAGGAAAACAATCAAACCTAAGTACTGGCTGCCGACGTTCAGTTCATCGTGTGATGCTGCGTTCTCAGTGAGCTGCGCTGGGGTGGAGGACCTTCAGTTACCTCTGCGAAGGCAGAGATCGCGTTGCTGTATCACAGTATTTTATTCAGGTTTCTGCAAAAAAAAAGAAAAAAGAAAAATAAAAAAAGAAACTAAAAGATACTTTTTTAAATGAACACGAATAGAATTTTGCAAATTTAAACATTTTGAAGATTTGTTCAAGGAAACACAATGCCTGTGTTCAACCACCGGCGTTCACGAACAAAACAATGACATTGTACATTCTGGGGAAGACTCGCCCAGGCGGCCACGACTCTCATGGCCGCCTTCAGCCAGCCCTCAGCTTCTACCTGGCCCTGACCTTCTCCAGCTGCCTGGTCTGAGCATGTCTTGCCAGACACCAGACTTGGCTTCTGAAATGTGCATTTCAACCTCAACTTTTGCATAAAATAGAATGAATTGTTTTGCTCTGATGAAATGTAGGCCTTACTTGTATATAAGACTGTTCCTGCCTTCGGTCTGTCATTCCCCTCCCATCCCCTACCCAGCACCTGGGCCTTCCCTGAGGTCCAAGGGTCTGCCCATTAAATGAAGACTTCAGGTTCGGTCCAGTTCCACTGCCCCCATCCCATCCCGACCCCAAGCCATCAATCAGATAGATTGTTGAGCGGTATACAGTCAGATGAAAATACTGTAAATGCACTCGTTGGGGGGGGGGGTGGTTTTATTTCATATCATGTGCAATGTCGTGGCTTTAACATTTTATGCAACTATTTATGAAGACCTCTGTTGTATCTGTAATAAATATATAGAAAAAGCACATGCTTCGTACGGTGAGCTTTATGGTGTGTGTGTGTGTTGGGGGAGGGGTCGTAACCCTGTGCCATCAGTTCAGAGAGACCTAACTCTTCGTGAAATTTGTCAGTTTTGAAAACTGTAAAAGGTGATTTCATACTCTGAATAAAAACCTGGATAATAGGGTAATTTTTTTCAAATTTATTATGCTATTATTCAGAATGCCAAAGTATTATTTTTTTCCCAAAATCAGTCTGGACATTTACTACTTTTTAAACTTTTTGACATTCAACTTTCTGTACAAAAATTGGCTGGATTTTGAGCTTTTTGGTAAGAAATTAAAGCCAATTTAGCACTGGCCACCCTGAGGCTGGTACCTAATGCCCGTGTCACTGTGGCAGAATCCGTGCTGGTGTGGGGAGGACTTGGAACACAGACACTGGTTTCTGGCATGTTTGAATTTTTCTGGATGTCTTTTTATCTTTGTGTGAAATACGGTAATAAAATAAGAGACCAGCCTGCTTCCCAAGCCAGCTAGACATCTATCTGGGTCTTGAGCCATAAACTGGCATGATTATGCTTCACAGCTTCCAATGTATTTTATTTATTCTTTTGTTGGGTTTTTGTTTGTTTCTTCTTGTAAAATTGTACAGAAACTTTTTAAAAGAAATTGGATTCAAAAACTGGATGTGTATCCGTAACCTCATAACTTTCATTTGTGTATTGTTTCTTTAATTTCAGTTAATTTTTTACATTATTTTGCATGTATATTTCTTTGTACAGAGACCTTACATGTTTACACAGTATGATGTGATGTAAATATTTTATTTTACCATCAGTTATTTTAAAAAAATTAAACATATTTGCCTGATTTTTGTGTTAGGCCTTTTATTTCAAATGATCACACTTGCGTCTCATACATCCCTCAGGGAGAGACCAGCGGAGTCCCCTCCTGGTGGGAGGGACAAAATGCCCTGGTGTGGGAACCTGCTGGGAAGCTGCCTGACCAGCAGCAGGAGCCTGTCAGGGTCCTAAAGAAACAACTTTCAAGACACTGGGATGCAACCATAGTGTCAGCTGCCTACAACAAGGCCATAGCTCCACCTGATTGAAGGTACCCTACTTCCTAATGGCTCTGAAGCTGGAGCTGAGGGAAAAGTTTCCGTGTCCTAGCCATAGAAAAGCAAGGTTAATATGCTCATATAGTCAAAAAGATGAATTACTCAGGTTCAAGCATCACAAGTAAGATTCCACCACCACCCCTACTTGAAAGGGTGCTCAGTCTGCCCTCAGCAGGACTTGGCAGCTCTGCCGACCCTACTGACGACAGGAGACCGTTGTCGGTAGTGACGAGTATCATCTCTCTCATTTTGATTCTTTTCAGTTTTCCATCTGGGATGCTGACACAGCACTCCATAAAGAACAGGTCTTCAGATGGGCACTGGTGGCTCATGCCTAGCCACTCAGGAGTTGAGATCTGAGGATCACAGTTCAAAGCTATCCCAGGCAGAAAAGTCTGTGAGACTCTTGTTCATCTCCAGTTAATTGGCAAAAAGTCAAAATTGGCAGTGTTGCTCAAGTTGTAGAGTGCCAACCTTGAGCGAAAAAGCTAAGAGACTGTGCCCAGGCCCTGAGTTCTAATCCCAATATTGGCACCAAGAAAATAATTTTTTAACGTTTTTTATTGTAAAAAATACTATACAGAGGGGTTACAGTTACATGAGCAAGGTAATGAGTACATTTCTTATCAAGCATTGTTCCCTCCTCCTTTGTTTTTCCCTTACCATTCCTTCCCTCCCACTTCCTCAACTACACTCCCCACCCCAGCCTAAAATTGTAAAGTTCCTTGTTCAACAATGTCTTGTACATCTCATTGTTACAATGGGTCAACCTGTATCCCTATTAAAACCAAGTCTTCATTGGTTTCTGGAATCCTGAGCAGAGGCCAGTGTGGAAGGATGATTCATGTCTCCAATTTCTGGTCTGCTCTAGGAAGAGGAAGCCTCACGGTGCTTCCCTCTCACACTCCAGGGCTACACAGAAGGAGGACTGGGAAGGAGCCAGAATTCAAGCCAGCTCTCCGTCCAGAGCACAGCCTGGGGCCTGGAGAAATCTTAAGTGTTTTCCTTTTTACTGTATACTTCCTGCATGATGAATCTAGGCCTATACCCCCAAATATCAGGTTGGTTTACATTCTGCATGTGAGGTGGGCAAGTGGTAATCACCAGAGTTTCCAACAAATAAATTAAAAAATCATCTTGCAGCAGGCATTGATCATAAAGATATTTAACTGGTATGGTGCTACATGCCTATAATCTCAATACTGGAGAAGCTGAGGAAGGAGAATCATGAGCTGAAGGCCAACCTGATCTGCCTGAGTGAGGCTTCATCCTTTTTATAAAACCATGTAGGAGTAGCTCACACAAGAGAGACATGGTGATATAACCATTTTGGACCACTGAGGTTTTTCCAGCTTTTTGGCTTCAGTGCAGGAATGTGTACAGGTTTTCATAAGAACATGAAGATTTTATAGATCCTATTGGAGGTGAACGTTTCTCATCTTGGATGGCCAGACTGTTCTCCATGCTGTATCAATTCATATACCACTGCCCATGTGAGAGTCCTCCAGTACCTCTATGTCAACCCAGGGTTGGTGGTACCACTGTTGTTCCTTTTTTAAATTTGGCCATTTTGATAAAGGTATGCTAATGCAGCTTGGTGAGGGCGGGGGATGGGGGAGGATGGGCTGTCTTGAGGCTTGAACTTAGGTCCTGGGTGCTGTCCATGAGATTTTTTATGTGAGCCATAACTATTTCCAGTGGATTTTGTGTTTAAGTCTCATGGACTTTACAGCTCAGGCTGGCTTCAAACCATGATCCTCAGGCCTCAGCCTCCTGAGTAGCAAGGATTACAGACGTGAGCCACCAGTGCCCAGTCATAATGCTGTTTTAATTTTCTTTTCCTTAGTAACTATTTCTGTATGTCCTCTTCAGTGAATTGCTTCTTCGTGTTTTCTTAATTTGCCTTCTTAGATTGATTTGGGTTTGATTGTTGGGTTTTGAATGGTTTTTATTCACTCTAGATATTGAAAATATAGTACCTCCCCCTCTTTCTAGTGACTTTTTAACAGGATCTTTCTCAGAGAAGAGGGTTTTAAATTTAAAAATCCAATTTATCAATGTCTCATTTCATGGATCAAGTTTCTGGTGTTGAGTCTAAGAACCTTTGTTGGTTTGTGACAGGCTCTGCTCTCTGTGTGGTCCAGATTGGCCTCAAACTCAAGATCTTTCTGTCTCTACCTCCCAAGTGCCAGATTACAGGTGTGTACCACCACACCTAGCCATATAACATTCAGGTTTTTAATATATAGTTTAAGTGGGTGTGGTTTGTTGGGTGGGTTTGGTGGTAGTACTGGGATTGAAACTCAGGGCGTCATACTTGCTCTGTAGGTACTCTATCACTCAAGTCACTTTATGCGTTGGTTATTTTCAAGATAAGGTCTCACTTTATGCCCCTAAGATGATCCTATTTGTGCTTTTTGTCACTGGGATGGCCAGTTCTTGCCCCATACCCTGCCACTGTGCTTCCCTTGCAGCTTCAGATGACATCGTGCTTTCACTTTAGAGTGGAGAAGGACATGCCAATGGCAGTGAGACGGTAAGCCCTTCGTATATTTTACTGTTTTATATCTTTTTTGGACTCTCTGTTGTTGTTGAAGTCATACTTAACTAGCAGCACTCATAGTCTACTACTTATACCACCCACACCAAAATATCCAAAGAACCATAGGAAGGGAGGGACAGAACAGATCGCTGAGTGCCAAAGGCTCCTGGGGACTGTGTGCAGGGTGCAAAACAGACAAAGGCTGGATGGAGGGAGAGGCAACGAGTTGAATCATGTAACTACTGGAATGATGTAGCAGAGGTTCAGAGATAACAGGAGCTGGGTCTTAAAGAGCCATCAGGGTCTCCAGGCTGTGACTTTAGAATTGCCCCAGTCCTTGATAGCTCTGGTTGGTGAGGCAGGCACAACTTTCATAGAATACTAGCTGACACAGCATTTGCTTCTCAGGCAGCTCCTTGCTCTGGCTATTTCTTATTTACAATTCAAAAACCTTAGAGGTTTATCTTTCAGGCTGTGGCTCTCATTCTTCTCTCCAGGACTGCTGCTTTTCTAGAGCCTTTCTGGCTCTCCTTGCCACAGGATACGAAAGGGAAAAAGCGGACAAGGCAGAGACACGTGAAAATCCAAGAAAAGGAGAAACTTTTGAATCAGGTATTCCATTTATGATTAATTACTGCTTCTAAGAAAAGTAAACTTCCAAACAAAGCATTCCATTTATCATCACTGCTAGATAACTTGTATCATTGTTCTACAGAATGCATATATCTGTTTTCAGTGTTTAAAAGCTGCACACCTTTTGCTCAGTCTCACACAATCCATCAGTTTCTTTAGGACTGTGTTTATCTCCTGTTACTGTGTTTAAGCCAGAAAGACCATGTCAGAACAAGTGACCTCCACAGGGCTCTCCAAGCACTATGGATCATGGGCGAACTGCCTAGCCGGCTGCACTGTTAAGACAGGATTTCCATATTTATTACTTACTCCAAGAGAAAAAAGATGCAAAGCATAAATATTTTGCAAACATGAAAATTATCTCCCAGCACCAGGCTCTCCCCTGCCAGGAGTTTTCTCCATGGTTTAACCTCACCAAAAGCAAAGCCTTGATTACCTTTCCCAACTGTATGGACAAAAGGGAAACTGAGAGCAGTCGTCGACAGGTGCAGATGCTGACTTTACTTTCCTGCACAGACTTCCCTGTGTTTCTTGGGCCTCTTCTGTGGTCCTCATCTGTGGGGGACAGTGGGTCAGTGGGCCGCCTTCTCTGACAAGCTCTGTCTATCCCTAGAGGCCTCAGTTTGTCTCACTCCTTTGTGTGTAACATTGTTAAAAATCACCATAAACTTGGTGGAAAATCACTGGGCACCGGTGGCTCTCACCTGTAATCCTAGCTACTCAGGAGGCTAAGACCTGAGGATTGTGGTTCAAAGCCAGCCTGGGCAGGAAAGTCCATATCTCCAGTTAACCACTAGAAAACCAGAAGTGGTGGCACTGTGGCTCAAGTGGTAGAGCACTCACCTTGAGCTGAAGAGCTCAGGAACAGCACCCAGGCCCAGAGTTCAAGCCCCACGACCTGCCCACATATACACACACACACAAGAAGAAGGAGGAGAAGGAGAAGAACAGGAAAAGGAGGAAGAGGAGGAGGAGGAAGAGAAA